CCGAACTCAACAAGCACCAGGAAACGATTGTCAGAAGGAAGCTAGAGTTTCAGACGATTAACTTAGTGGGGAATATATTCACAACGATTACAGCGCGTGTCAATTTGATATGATGCAAATGTGTGTGATTTTTTCCGATATATTATGACTATATCGCATAAACAATATAAACATTGCTATGAACATGCGATGTGATAAAAGTAACCTTTCGAGACTATGATAGCGACAAGTTGTTCACTATCATTAATCCCGGAATAGAAAACACACATTCTTCACATTTACATATATCACGGCCTGTACTAAAATCAGCATAGGAATATTCAATGTCCTTATAAAAACTACAAGACAGTATCAAGATAGCACAAGAAAAAATATATCCTCAAACTTCGTAGCGTCCTGATCCATCCCGGTCCGCCGCACTTCCGAAAAATCCGCCATGTGTTGCGAAATCACCATCGAGATGACGAAACATTAATTTCACCATTGAACCAAATAGGGCTAGGAAAACCTCCTCCCCAAGACCTGAGAAACGGAAATTTCGAAAATGCACATCATGAAACGCTTCGCTCCGCTGTGCGACAGACTTAGTTCATGCACTACTGTTCGTAGTTGCTCCCCCTCCCCGAAAAAAAATCATCCATGAACCTATAATGTTCCCGAGGGGAACTCATTTTGAATTTCCAACATTCTTCAATCAGTTTCCCATGTAAATGTCATCACATTAGGAACATCATTTCCCCCATTGTTATCAAACTCTGAGGGACGCTATTTCTCAAAGTATAATATGTTACAATATCAATAGCAAGATATCCATACAGCTATATAATTATAATATAAGGATATCTACCTTGTTTAATGGACTTTCACCCTAGTGATACGAAAAACACTAGTGAAAAACATATTTCCCGACTACTACTACAGTATACCGCGAATATCGAGTTTTTCACCGAGTTTTACGCCACTTCACGTAAAACGGCTTGTGAAACCCCAATATATTATCAAGGTTACTAATATCTCCATGCTATCCTCGGAAACATTATAGGTCATTCGCTGACTCCCGCCGATTCATATAAAACTCGCTTTCTCCGCAAGTACCTGGTTTGGTTTGTTCCACAACTATAGTCTCATGCGGCGGCTCGGGTCGGCGTCTATGGAATAAATTCATCAAGTGACGGACATCAGGATGACCCACATCATCGTCGAGTGCAGGGAACGATTTAACCTGAGCGAATCAGCCCGAAGTCGGGGAAAATTACCCCAAGTCAAAACCGGTGTTGGAGGAATATATGTACGATTTCTTCAACTGAGCTCAAGAGTTCCTTCACTAATTATAGAAATTCGGAAAGAAATCAACAAGGAAATTCCAAAATTTCCAACACATGTAGTTGACCACGTGCATATTTTTACACACTGCTTAATACAATGCAGTTTCACCACCCTAGTGATATGAAAAACACTAGTGAAAAACCTATTTCACGACTACTGCACATCACCGAGTTTTACGACGCCACTTCACGTAAAACAGGTTGTGAAACTCCAATGCTTATTTCTATTGCCTTTTTGTTTTCCTCATTAATAGTATCGTCATCATCCTCGAAAAACGAGGACCAGTGTTGAGGACTAGTAGTCTCCCTTCGAGTAGATCCCACCTGATGGGGAAAAATTGATGTCAACTTGATACTATGCAAATGTGAAGAGTGCGCATTTACTATTCCGGGAATCTATTCGCTATCATAGTCTCGAAAGGTTACTTTTATCACATCACATGTTCATAGCAATGTTTACATTGTTTATGCGATATAGTTTCAGATCGATTCTCATTAATCTCGGGAAATAACACACATTTGCATCATATCAAATTCACACACACTGTATCCGCGTAAACGGTACCTCCTCCAACGGCCCGCCCGGATGCATTTGCCGGTAAAAACGTCGGATTATTTCACATCGCGTCTCGCCTGAAATGTGAAAAACGTTCCATAATTTCACCCCGACAAAAACGTTCCATAATTTCACCCCGACAAAAACGTTCCATAATTTCACCACGACAAAAACGTTCCATAATTTCACCCCGACAAAAACGTTCCATAATTTCACCCCGACAAAAACGTTCCATAATTTCACCCCGACAAAAACGTTCCATAATTTCACCCCGACAAAAACGTTCTGCTGCCATTCTATACACCAGTGTTGGAGTAGGAATATGTTTGATTCTCTCAGCTAAGCTCAGGAGTTTCCAAAGCAAGTTTACATACGAATTCGGGTAGAAGTGTACAGAAACTAATCGAGTTCACACACGAGGAGAATTCCAAGCCGATCGACGCACGCTATCATCAACTAACATTAATGTCATCCCAGAGAATAATACGGAAATGAGAATCTTGAGGATACGAATAAACTTGGAGGTGAATAGGTCACAGTGTGGCACATAAATTTCATCAAGAAATTCTACGTCCTAGCGTGGGAAAATCAAGTGTAATGTAAATGGGAAAATTCTGAAGAAATTACAAATTTCGCTCGTTTTTGTACACTTCTACTCAAAGTCGTGTGTGAATTTCCATAATCCAGCGAGGAAACTCCTGAGCTCAGTAGCTGAGGAAAGCAAACATATATTCCTACTCCAACACTGTGTTCACTCCTGAGCTCAGTAGATGAGGAAAGCAAACATATATTCCTACTCCAACACTGTGTTCACTCCTGAGCTCAGTAGCTGAGGAAAGCAAACATATATTCCTACTCCAACACTGTGTTCACTCCTGAGCTCAGTAGATGAGGAAAGCAAACATATATTCCTACTCCAACACTGTGTTCACTCCTGAGCTCAGTAGCTGAGGAAAGCAAACATATATCCTACTCCAAC